CCCTGTGTGTGTCACACACATCCACACACATCCAGACATCCACTCTGGTTATTTTTTCTCTGGCACGAGCTGTGGGTCCTTTTGTTACTGGAAAGGGAACCTGGCCCTTGGTGGGTCTGCCTAGGGCCAGCTGGTAGTGTGTGGGTTCTTGGGTTCTTGACTTCACGCATAAAAAATTTCACGAGTCCAGGTGACTATGAGGGAACGTTAATTAAAGCCGGGGACAGTAAAACAAGAGAGGCCTTAGCATAGAAGAAGCACCAGGAGAGCCTAGGCTGGGCTGCCTGGGAAGTCAGAGAAAAGGGGGCCTTGGGAACAGGTTCAGGGACTAGCCAGGGATGAGCTGCCGCTGCCCATTGCTCCCCTGGTTGCAAATCTCATGGGGTCCCTTAGAATTTAGGAGATGCATGCCATGGGGGGAGAAGTGGGGGGAGAAAAGGGGAAAGGGAATGGCTGCTCCCCAGACGGAGAGCTCAGGCTGGGTCCTTTGTCTTGAGGCTTTATCTCTCCCTCACATCTCTTTCTCATGGGCGGGAGTCTTAGGAGAGGTCTCAGGGGAGGGTTTCCGCAGAATTCTAGGTGTGTGCGCTCCTTCAGGGTCGTGGCCTCCGCTGATTGGTCGGTGACAGGGCAGAGGGTCATTAGCCATTGCAACTGGTCCTGATGTTGCCCACCTGGTTTTGCTGCTTTTCTGGGCCTGGAATTGAAATACACCTGAGGCCTAAATGTTATCTCTAGGGACGTGACCTTCTGTATCTGCTATAAAATGCTAAGTAGTTTGTTCAGCTATCTGTCTCAGTTTCCCTCTTCCACTTGTCCTGTCCTGTCTCAGTTTGAAGGGCTGGATCCTAAGTCAGGTTCTTGATAAGGGAGTTCAGGGTACACACCATGTTGGTATTTCGTCTGGTAGAAGCTCCAAAGAGACAGTTCTGTCACCTGAGGGTGATCGTCAAAATATTTAACACCCACCAATCAGAGCAGATGGGGCCATGAACCACTGGCATCAGCTCTGCCAGTTCCATAGATGCACCGCGTCCCATCCTAGATTGCAACCTGCAGTACTCCTTGCTGGCACTGGGAAGTGCTGGTTTCAGTCACCAAGGTCCCCACCAGGGATCATAGGAGGCACTGGGTGGTTTACTTTTAAACTCACTCTACCCCCACCCCCTTTAAAAATATTTTAATGGCAAAACAATACAGGTTGATTATATTTTTTAAATCAATGCAGAACAAAACAAGAAAATAAAATTATTGCCGTAAAAGTGGTAACATTTGCTCTAGCCGGTTTGGCTCAGTGGTTAGAGTGTCAGCTCTTGGACTGAAGGGTCTTGGGTTCAATTCTGGTCAAGGGCACATCCCCCAGTTGCAGGCTTGATCCCCAGCCCCAGGCTGGGGCACGTGTGGGAGGCAACCAACCAATGTGTCTCTTTCACATTGATGTCTCTCCCCCCCCCACTCTCTCCTTGTGAGCCATGGGTTGATGCTCTAACCACTGAACCACACCAGCCAGGGCCAGGCCATACGCTATTCAGTGGCTGAGCTGGAACCGTACCCGGGTCTTCCTCTGCTCAAAGCCCACACCTTTGACAACGTGTTATCACTCCATTGCCTCTCATTTCAGAGAAGGTGCATCTGGGCCAGGCTCACCTTCCTGCTGTTTACCCCCTTTTCCTCCTTCCCTGGGGGGTCTCCCACGAAGATGCCCCCCTCTTCTTCACGGTTAAATGTGTAGCTTATGTCTGGAGACATCATCTCACAGGTGCCCCCTGTGACAAGGTTTTCCTTTAGCCCATCTGCCCCTCATTTGCACCTACTCAGCACTGTGCCAGGCGTGAGAATCATGGGGGCCCCGCGCCCATTTCTCTGTTTTGAGGGCAAGGACAGTGTCTTATACATTTTCCTGGACTTTGGGGCACCTCACAGTCCCTCGCAACATCAAATGCCATGGACCAGGCAGGTAACCTAAATGGACAAAAACAAGGCTGGTGGGGAGACATTCTTCTTGAAACATGGGGCTTCTTGGTCCACCTTGTTTCCCCATTTTTTGTTAGGGGCTCTGTTCTTTCCTAAATAGAATGCAAGTGTAAAGCCAGAGAGCAACCTCTACTTAGCTGCGGTGTTGGGACATCATAGGGACTGGTGAAGACTGAGGCAAGTGGGGGGAGCATGAGACCTCTACAGGGCTGCTTCTGACAAGTGGCCATTTAGGCCAGACATAGATAGATGATAAGAATTTTCAAGGAAAGCTGACAATTGAGATTTTTTTTTGGTACAAGATCATGTGATTTTTAAATATTGATGACTGATGAAATATTTTTCAATATTTATGTCCGCCAAAATAAACACCCTCCCCCCCAAATCAAACTGACAGACAAAAAACAAGTCCCCAGGCTGTGGTTGTGGGGTTGCAATCCCAAATGCCCTTATTAGGATGTTAGTATAAGAAGCCTCCTTAAATTATCCAGCCCAGTGGCTTCTAAATGCCATCCCTGACGTGGTTACATCAGGATCCCCTGAAGGTTTATGCCCTGGCCGGGTGGCTCAGTCAAAGCATCTTCCCGTCCACCAAATGGTTGCAGGTTTGATTCCAAGTCAGGGCACATGCCTAGGTTTTGGGTTCATCCCCAGTTAGGGCCTGTTTCTCACATCATGTTCCTATGTCTCTCTTCCTTCCTCTCTCTGAACATATCCTCGGGTGAGGGTTTGGAAAAAAAAGAATCCCCCAAAGGTTTAGAAAAACACTGGAAATGCTGATTCTGTGGCCCCAGGGCCTTGGACCTGCAGGATCAGCCCTCTGGGCTAGTGCTGACACCTTTCCGAGCCCTCCAGGTGCTGCCGAAGTTTATCCAGATGTGGAATTTCCCAACTTCCCTGAGGCTTTATGTCAAAACACCCACTTCCTGGTCGAGTTTCCTGGAGGTGCTGATTCAGTGCCTCGGGGGGCAGGGAACGGGAATTTGTTTTTAAGGAATTCTTATCTAAGAAATCTGGAAAACCCTTGCCCTGCGCCCTCCTGAAAATCAGAGATGGAGAGAGATTTGCTCAGGGCCACACAGCAAGTCACCCCAGCCTGCTGACCTCTTGTGTTCTCTTGGAGGAATGTACCTGAAGGCAGGCCTTGGGCGGTGGTGGGTAATGGGCCAAGGGGGGCCCAGGTTCGAAACGCGGGGGTGGTGGTGGTGTTCTCAGCAGGGGGCACCCTACTGGTGTGTCCAGGGTGCTCCCCAGGAGGTCTGGCAGGTGGCTGGCTGGAGGTGGGCCTGGCCAGATGGAGCTTCAGGCTGGGCTGGGAGTGAGATGAGGGTGC